AGATAGATAGATAGATAGATAGATAGACGGCTAGACAGACAGACAGACAGACAGACAGATAGATAGATAGATAGATAGACAGACAGACAGACAGACAGACAGACAGACAGACAGATAGATAGATAGATAGATAGATAGATAGATAGACAGCTAGACGGACAGACAGACAGACAGACAGACAGACAGATAGATAGATAGACGGCTAGACGGACAGACAGACAGATAGACAGACAGACAGACAGATAGATAGATAGATAGATAGATAGATAGATAGATAGATAGATAGATGTTGTTTTTGGTACTTGGACTTATGTATAATTTAAATATCATTTTTTAAATATTTTATAAATATAATTTTGACATTTGTATTCGTGTGTATATGTGTATATACACACTGTATATTCACGCAGCCGCGCACACACACAGGGACACACACAAATACAAATGTTTTACCATTAAATTCCAAATATTTCAAAAAATTATGTAATTTTAATTATGTATATATAATTTATGTGTATAAAAATATATCATATAAAAATAATTTGCATCATACTTTCTTTTTTTCTGTCTTATTTGGAAATTGATGGATTTAAAGAAAACAAACACACACACATAATAGGTATAGTTTAAATCATATTTAATTTCTTCTCTCTTTTTATTTGGAAATCAATGGATTAAAAAAATCAGTCATACAGAATTATAAAAAAGCATAAATAATAATTCTATATTAAATTATAAATAAATTGTATTTTTCTTTTGATTTGGACATTTTGGACTAAAATACATGCTTTTGTTTGTTTTATTTATTAATTTATTTGATGAATTTTATTTTTATATTATTTTTATTTGGAACTTGATGGAAAGCAGACAAAAGCACTTAATTAATTCCTCTTCTCGTTTTGGACATGTCTGGCTCTGTATTTAATATTTCTCCGTGTTTTCACACCATGTACCCTGTCACGCTCGCAGCTCAGATCTCTAGCCGCTAAAGCTGGTGGTGTCTCAGTAATCCTGCAGGAATCATTACTCTGTGTTCGTGTTTCTCTGTGATGAGAAAGCGGCAGTCAGACACACGGTTCCAATCACTCTGTCTATCTTGTGCTGTTCAGAAGCAGTTGTTCAGGAATCGACCTCTCGTTCTCATTTTCTGCTCATCTGTGTGTCTCTGCAGGGTCCCGTCGGCCCCCCAGGTCTCCCCGGACCCCCTGGAAAGAGAGGACCGCGGGTAAGACGCTCCGCTCTCATGCATCAGTGTTTGGTTGTTTGTCACGGAGTGAATCCTGTTTCCCTGTGTTGGGATTCATGCAGCATCCGTCTGTCTTGCTCACTTTCTTTCCATTATGAAACAATTAGAAGCACGAGACTTTCCACAGCTGTTTGTGCCCAGAATAATCACTGAGAGAGAAAGTGAAAGAATCACAGAAATATACAGCAGTGCTTCTCGATAGATAGACAGATAGATAGATAGATAGATAGATAGATATCTTGCACATTGCTATCTAGATATCATGTTGTCAGCAGCCAGTAATTCACAAAGCACAAACCAAGTTCTTCATTGCAAGCCATATCTGAAGTAGGCGCCGTTGTTTTTTTGTCTTTTGCATAAAGTTGTGTAGAGTTTGATTGGATGCACTGCTTTGACAACAAAACATATGCAAAGTTTTCTGTTTGCCTTTTAAAGGTTACTGAGCATATTTATTTATTATCTTGACTAATTATTTTATGTGCATTTTGTTATTAACATTCAGCTGTGTCATGCAGTCATTGAGAACCTCTTCTGTCAGCAGTAAGCACACACACTGATATCTCTGTGTATTTACAGTGAGGCTCTTTCCTCATGAATGTGTTTCTGGAGTCGCTCACACTGGCTGTAGGCTCTGCTGTCAGTCTGTGATTGATGGTTTATTCTCAGACACCGTCACATTCCTGATCATCCCAGACACTCAGTATCTCTTCAGAAACACTGATGGTCATTGATTCTGTATTACAGTCGCGGATCATTTACTCAGGATTTTCAGAAACAGAAAAGGAGATGTTTAGCAGAGCGTTCATGCTGCTCCATAGAGTGGGGTAGAAATTGCACATTGCTTTCTTTTTCCCCGTGATAACAGCATGCATTGTTTTTTCTGATGTAGATGAAAACTAGTCAATTTCATAATTCCGGTGTTATTTTAATATTAGCATTATTAATACCATTAATTAGGGGTGTACCGGTACACAAACATGACAGTTCGGTACGTACCTCGGGTTTGACGTCACGGTTCGGTAAACAAAATATTTTTTTTTATTATTAAACAGTGGTTTACTGAGCAAATTGCTCTTTCTTTAAATGAATTCAATCATAATTAACATTTTCTTAGGGATAAAAATCTACCTCAGCTTATGGTCTTTAAACTATAGAAAACCCTTTTACATTACTATAAGGTTGCATTTAACAACAGAGCCCAAACTTAAATTCAATTGCTATTTATTTTTAAACATAATAATCAAAATCGTATGCAAACATATAAATTGCACATAATGCAGTTTTTACATTAACTTCTAAATTAAAAAAATTATATTTGTTGTTGAAATATATTCATTTATTTTACACAGTGGCTGTCATAACTTGTTTCATAACAGATTTATTTAAACATACATTAAATAATTAAGACATCACTAACAGGTGAAGTGAAATATAATGAGTATACGGTCTAATATTTCGTGAAATGCTCTTCTCTAGACTTCATTTCTCTAGCAAATAAAGAGCTGTGGACACTGATGACTTGCCTGAGGTAAATAAAATGCTACGTAATATTTTGTTTGCAAGCTGTTTAAATAACGTCTTTCTGCGGATAAAAAACACTTACGATTACATGAGGCGTGAGATGTTCATTCATGTTTATTTTGCGGTAAAATTAGTAGTAAAGAGGAAGTGATGATCACACTCTGCGCTGAGGCGTTTATACAGCGATCTGTCTCGCCACATCAAAGAGCGCCAAAACGGCATTTATTGTCTGAATTTCCTGAAAAAATTGAATGATTTGTTCGGTACACGTGTACCGTTACACCCCTACCATTAATATTTTTAATGAGCTTTTATTTTTTTATTTTCCTTTTCCTTTTAGTTAAAGTTTTTGTAATTATGCGGTTTAAATTGTTTTTATTTTTTAACATTTCTATTTAGCTTTAATTTATTTTTATTTTAGTTTTAGTAATTTTAGTATTTATACTACTTTGATTTCAGTTAGCTGCCAAGGCATTTCTAATTTCCATTAAATTTTTTTTTTTAAGTACAATAATAATATTTTATTTCAGCTTTATTTCAATCAACAAAAACAATTTTCATTGGTTTTATTTTAGTTAATGATAACAACACTGCATCATTCTCAACCATTTTTACTTTTATAATGAAAAAAAAAAGTTTATAAAAGTAATTTAATTAAAGTTGTTTATACTAGCATGGTCTTTTTTAATTTCAAAGTAGCTTTTATTTTTATTTTTATTTTTTTTTAGTTTGCGTTTTATTAATTATGCACTTTTGTCATTTTTATTAGTTTTTATATTTATATTTAGCTTTTTTTGTTTTATCTATTTTTGTTTTACTTCATTTAGTTGCTAAGGAAACATTTCTAATTTTCGGGGTTTTTTAACATTTTTATATTTAAGTTTTTAATTCAATATTTCATTTTATATCAAGTAATGAAAACAAATTGTAATAATTTTAGGTTTAGATTTAGTTGGCAATAACAACACTGCATCATTCACAACCCATTTTATTTCTATAAGATGTGTTTCTCTAAAGGGTGTGAAAAGGGTATTTGCGAAGAAATATAGTATAGGATTTGATATCATCCAGCTTATTTGATCTGGAAAACTGGGCGTTTCGTACCAGAGACCAGAAATATCACCACAGTGTCACTGATGTTACTTAATTTTAGCACATTATCATTTAATATTGATAAATATGGGATGTATATCACCCAATTTTCCTCCAAGAATCTGTTCTTGAGATGATTGAAATGCTGGATGGTTTGTGAAGTATGGACTGTCTGTCTTTGTTCCTCTCAGGGTCCAGCTGGTCCTCACGGGAGTCCCGGGCAGCCTGGTTTACCTGGTCCGAAGGTAAGCTCCTCTCCTGTTTGTCCTGTCTGAAACAAGTCCGAGCCGTTACACGAGCGCAGCGGCCGCTCGAGACGATCTTCCTGTTCAAACTCGCCGTTCTCAAGCTGAATAGCTCTCGCTTCGTAATAAACCTTTGATATTGTGTGTGTGTGTGTGTGTGTGTGTGATGACAAGGCTTCGGAAAACACTGGAAAGAGCCGTTGGGGAGACACTGACAGTTTGATCTTCTAGAGACGAGAGGAAAATATATCTGTGCCACGACATTAAGAGCCTGTTACCTGTGTGTTTGAGTGTGTGTTGTTTGTGTGTGTGTGTGTGTGTGTGTGTGTGTGTGTGTGTGTGTGTGTGTGTGTGTGAGAATCCATGGGTCAGAACATGGAGAAATGTAAAGCACACCTGGTGGAGGCGAGAGCTGCAGGTTTAACAGATGGACTCACTTTGACCTCCAATAAATGGACGTCATTGCAGAGATTCCCAGAGCAGCACCTTTATTTACACTTTTTAATTCGTTTTTATTAGTGCTTTCAGTCAGCATTTTATTTTCCTATTTTCAGTTTTTTTATTGTAATTATTTTATTTTTTATATATACATATATATTTTTTTTATATGCTTTTGTAATGTTTAGTAGTTTTTGCTTAAAAAAAAAAATTGTTTTAGGTTTTCATTAATATTTTGAATAAGCTTTTTATTTTTTAAAAAACATTTTAATACATTTTTCAGTTTCAGTGGTTCCCAGATCAGCAGGTGTATTTTTATGAACACTTTTAATTAACATTTAATTGTAAATTTTTAACATTTAATTTTTAATTTTCATTTAACATTCTTAACAAGCTACTTTAGATCAGTGTTTTTTGGTATCATTGATATATTATTATAGTTTTTGTTGACATGTAAAACATTTTGGTAATGTTGTTGTATGTTTTTATAATTTTAGTTAATTTTTTGTCATTTATATGTCATTTTTATTTATTTAGCATAATTGATATACTATTTTAGTTTTTGTTTATATTTTTAATTTTTAGTTTATAAACATTAAATTTTTTATATAAAGATTTTATTTTTATATTTTTCTGTTTTCACTTTAACTTTAGTTTTAGTTTTAATTATTTTAGTACGTAGGGTTAACTAAATGTAAATGAGAAATGTTACCTTGACAAGTAGCTGAAATGTTTTATTTTAAGTAATGAAATAGTTCTTTTTTTTTAGTGGTATTAGTTTTACTAATAACCCTGTAAAATGCATGACTTGTTAACGGTAGAGTGATGTGTTTGTGATGTCAGAGAGGTCGGCGTTCAGTCAAACTTGTGTCATGTTGCGCAGATTTCATAGAGGTCAAAGGTTGCGTTGATGTATTCATAGTGAACAGCGCAGAGTAGATATCCATTCAAAAAACCAACCTGTTCTCTCTTCAAAGGTGTCAGATAATGCTAATGAAAGTCACGCAGTCCTGGGTTAGCAGGTGTTCGTTTCAAACCCGGTTGGAAGGAAATACAGCTCTTGTTAGTGAGAATAAGGCTGGTGTGGTTAAAGATCTGGGCTGTTTCCCAAAAGCATTGTAAGCCTAAGTCGATCAGAGCTCCATTGGTGGCAACGGGTCGACGATGTACTTAGGCTTACGATGCTTTTGGACATAAATTTGTATAATGACAAAGGTATGACATAGGTATTACAAGGAGAAGGTGACTTTTCAGGACATTACCCCATGTCCCCACTTTTCAAAACGCATATAAATCACACAGAATGGAGTGTATTGAAAATCTGAAATAGCACAACGTTTCCTGTTAGGGGTAGGTTTAGGGGTAGGGTTGGTGTAGGACAATAGCATATACAGTTTGTACAGTATAAAAACCATTACGCCTATGGAGAGTCCCTACTTTTCACAAAAACAAACCTGTGTGTGTGTGGTGTGTGTGTGTGGAACATCAGGACGCAGGTGTGTCCTGAAAGGTGATGAACCTGTGCAGTTTTTCCAGCAGTGGAGAGAGCAGACAAACATCTGTCACAGTGATGAGACGTGTGTCAGTGGACATCTTCAGCACCAATGATGATGATATGCTTTTAAAACATTTCTAGATAGTTTTCATATATTTAATTCAGCTTTAGTTTTTAGTAGTTTTTAGTTTTAATATTTTGAATTTGTTTTCATATTCATATGTTCAGTTTTAATTTTATTAATTTTAATTTTTTAATTTTTTTATTGTAATTTGTACATAAATTCATAATACTGTAGTTCATTTTTTGTTGTAATTGTGCTGTGCACTTTTGACACTTTTATTAGTTTTTTTCTTTGGAACAACATTTAATTTTTTTATTTATTTTTATTTTAGCTTTAGTGTAAAATTCATATTTTGAATCAGCTTTTGTTTTGATATTTTTTGGTTTTCATTTTAATTTTGGCTTAATTTGATGTGCTTTTATAATTTTTTAGTGTTTACTTTTAAAATGTTTCTATTTCTACAGTTTTTATTTATTTTTTAATTCTGTTATATTTGTATTGTTATTTTGAATCAACTTTTTAAAATTTTCATTTTAATTTTAGTTTAATTTTTAGAAATTTTGTAATGTGCTTTTGTTAGTTTCATTAGCTTTTAAAAAGATTTTTAAATAGTTTTAATTTATTTTAATTTATGTTTTAGTTTGTAATAATATTTTAATCAGCTTGGATTCTCATATGTTCCGTTCATTCATTCATCGTAATTTTAGTAGTTTTGTTATTGGCTTTAGCTCTAAATATTTTTAATGTATTCTAATTTCAGTTTTAGTTTTTTAATTATCATCCTATTAAGCTATAGTTACGTCTCTGTCTCTCTGTTTCTGTGTGCGTCTGTCACACTGAGCATGTGTAGCTCTTTACTGGACGCTTCCACAGGAGCCCCGCATGTTTTATTATGATGTGGCTCGTAAAGCCTGTCGGGCCGCTAGCGTTGAGCGTAGACCCGTGTGGATGTGGTTTATTTACCACAGCAGACGTCTGCGGCTTTCACACGCGCTTCACTCGCTCGCTCTCGCCACTAATCACAGCTCAGAGGTTCCCACAGCAGAGATTTATCACTCAGATGCTGCTCTTTCACAGCTCAGGAGAATCCAGAGACAAATATCTTGATTAATAATTCATTTGGAGAAATAAAAATATGGAATGCAGTTCATTTAATCTTACTGTAAGTGAATTTGATGAGCAATATTTTAATTGCATTATTATTTTAACATGCAATATTGTATATTGTCGAATCTGAGCACAGGTTGAGACATTGAGATTCCTTCTGAAGCCTAAGGCTGTGCTTCTCAACCAAGATGATTTAACGTTACTTAAAATGAAACAAAACAAGCATTAAAATGACCTAAAACAAATAAAATTGACATATTTTTGATTGTAATTCTTATTTTTAATTCACTCCCTCAACAACTGTAAATTAATAAAATAGCATTTTTTTAAACAGAATATACATTTATCTAATTACGGAAGTGGGATTTCTAGACCTGAAAAAGTCAAGTAATTTAATAAACATTGCATAATCTAATCACGGAAATTAATAAAATTGCATTTTTAAAAATAATATACATTTTCTACTTATAGAAGTGTGTTTTCTAGACCTGAAAAAAATAATTTAATTTAATAAAACATTAGGTATTCTAATCACAAAAATTATAATAAAAATATACTTTTATTTCTAATTTTAAAAGTGTCATTTCTAAACCTAGGAAAGTCAAGTAATGTAATAAAATTACATAATCAGCATGGAAATTAATATAATTGCATTTAAAAAATATATGTATATACATTTTTCTCATTATGAAAGTGTGATTTCTAGACCTGAAAAAATCACACCATTTAATAAAAAGTATGTAATCGAATACCATAAATGAATAAAATTGCATTTAAAAAAAGAATATGCCTATTTTAAAAGTCTGATTTTTAGGCCTGGAAAAGTCACATAAATTAATAAGAATTACGTAATGTAAAAGGCTAATGTAAATTAAAAATAATAATAATAAAATGTTTTTTTTCTCATTATAAAAGTGTGTTTACTAGACCTGAAAAAGTCATGTAATTAAATAAAAATGATGTACTCTAATGACATAAATTAATAAAATTACCTTTTTAAAAAGAATATAACTTTTAAAAGTGTAATTTATCGATCTTGAAAAGTAATGTAATAAAAACTAGTACATGAATTGATAAAATATAATTTTTAAGAATATAAATGTTTTCTGATTATAAAAGTGTGATTTCTAGACCTGGAAAATTCACATAATTTAATAAAAAAATATGTAATCTAAACAATTAAATTAATAAAATAAGAATAAATTCTTTTCTAATATTAACAGTGTAATTTTAAGACCTGCAAAACTCATGTAATTTAATCAAAGTTACTTAATCTAATCATGAAAATTAATACTATTAATTATATTGAGAGTATATATTAGATATAAAATTATTAATAATATTTTTTTTTCAAATTTTACAAGTTGTTTCTAGAGCTGGAAAAGTCAAGTAATTTAATAAAAAATGCATAATCCTTTTTTTAAATTTTTTTTTTATATACATTTTATAATCATAAAAATGTAATTTCTGAAAAATTTATGCAATTTAATGAAAAACTTATGTAATGTAATCACATAAATTAACTAAATTATATATATATACATATGTATGAATGTATGAATGTATGTATTTGTTACCTTTTTTTCTAGGCCAAAATCACAAACAAATCTAAAAGTCAGAGGGCCTTTGAATGTTGTTGTGGACATCTGCAGGGGCCTTAGAGACAAAACCACAGTTTTATAGGAGACATGTGAAATGACCAGACAGAAACATCTGAGAAGCTGGAGGACTCCTTTTGCTCTCTATTTTGCTGTCTCGGAGAAACAAAGGAGATTGTGTTTTTTTCCTTTCCCATTAATCTGAACGCTTGACCTTCATATTCACAAGTGCCAAATACGCCAATCTGATTTTCCCATCAAGCTTTAGGACAAAGTGTTCATCTCTCTGTCCATTCAGAGATGACCTGAGTGGGCAGCAGATATCATCACCGGGGGCCCATCTGAGCCCGATGGTGGAAACTGTGAAGCATCTCAGTGCAGCCCACAGATGAGTCATGTGTCTGCTGGGATCTGGAGAAACAAGACGGAGCTGGAGCGCTTTGTGCTTCATATCCCTTCTTAAGACTTCAGGGATGACATAGCGAGCGAGATGAGATGGGCTTCACAGGTTTGAGAGGTTTGGCTCTGACAGGTTGACGTTTGGTTTTTCAGTCTAAAGTCAGTGGATCGTGGCAGGGTTTGCTTTAGTGAAGTGGCGTTTCGCAGGCGTCAGATCCGTGCTGTCTAGTGTTGATTGGCAGCAATTGTGTTTCCGTCATGGATTAAAACTCTCACTCAGGCCTGAATGGATTTGGAGTTGTTTGATTGACATGCTAAATGTGGTCCATGCCGTGAGCCTTTTTTTCCAGTGAACTTCCAGTGACTCCCTTTGGATTTAGATGCATTTTAAATGTAATTAAAAAGTATTGTGTAGTGCAAAAGCACAATATTGCACAGTTGGTTGAATCCACAAAATCAGATTGAATGAATAAATCAATGAATGGTGGATGATGCATGTTGATCGACACATGATTGATGGATGAAATGATTGACCATGATTATTGGTGCATTGATGGATTGATAAAGTATTGCATAATCCTTTTTTTTATTTTTTTTTTATATACATTTTATAATCATAAAAATGTAATTTCTGAAAAATGTATGCAATTTAATGAAAAACTTATGTAATGTAATCACATAAATTAACTAAATTATATATATATACATATGTATGAATGTATGAATGTATGTATTTGTTACCTTTTTTTCTAGGCCAAAATCACAAACAAATCTAAAAGTCAGAGGGCCTTTGAATGTTGTTGTGGACATCTGCAGGGGCCTTAGAGACAAAACCACAGTTTTATAGGAGACATGTGAAATGACCAGACAGAAACATCTGAGAAGCTGGAGGACTCCTTTTGCTCTCTATTTTGCTGTCTCGGAGAAACAAAGGAGATTGTGTTTTTTTCCTTTCCCATTAATCTGAACGCTTGACCTTCATATTCACAAGTGCCAAATACGCCAATCTGATTTTCCCATCAAGCTTTAGGACAAAGTGTTCATCTCTCTGTCCATTCAGAGATGACCTGAGTGGGCAGCAGATATCATCACCGGGGGCCCATCTGAGCCCGATGGTGGAAACTGTGAAGCATCTCAGTGCAGCCCACAGATGAGTCATGTGTCTGCTGGGATCTGGAGAAACAAGACGGAGCTGGAGCGCTTTGTGCTTCATATCCCTTCTTAAGACTTCAGGGATGACATAGCGAGCGAGATGAGATGGGCTTCACAGGTTTGAGAGGTTTGGCTCTGACAGGTTGACGTTTGGTTTTTCAGTCTAAAGTCAGTGGATCGTGGCAGGGTTTGCTTTAGTGAAGTGGCGTTTCGCAGGCGTCAGATCCGTGCTGTCTAGTGTTGATTGGCAGCAATTGTGTTTCCGTCATGGATTAAAACTCTCACTCAGGCCTGAATGGATTTGGAGTTGTTTGATTGACATGCTAAATGTGGTCCATGCCGTGAGCCTTTTTTTCCAGTGAACTTCCAGTGACTCCCTTTGGATTTAGATGCATTTTAAATGTAATTAAAAAGTATTGTGTAGTGCAAAAGCACAATATTGCACAGTTGGTTGAATCCACAAAATCAGATTGAATGAATAAATCAATGAATGGTGGATGATGCATGTTGATCGACACATGATTGATGGATGAAATGATTGACCATGATTATTGGTGCATTGATGGATTGATAAAGTATTGAATAAATGGATTCAGATATTCAACGGTCCAATATATAATAGGTTGAACTCTGTATTATTCTAAGGTTTAGTGTATTTGCATAGACATAGAAAGCAGCTTTTGCCTCTTAAATCTCTCCAGGTCCATCGTTATCACTTGCCTTAATCTGTCAGCACAGGCGAACATGATTTGCATGTGTCTTCTTGAATTTTAGACATGCTTTTGAGTTTCCTTTGACAGCTCGTTTTATGGCATGTAGAACGTCAAACTGAATTAACATAGTGCACTTTATTTATGTCCCAGGGAGCAAAAGGTGATCCTGGACTGTCCCCGGGTCAAGCGCCGGCAGGTGATAAGGTAAATGATCCACAAAGACGAACTACAGCATCTTTTCTCTCGGGGTGCTTTGAGATTTCTTTGCATTTACAGCCCTAAAACGTTCAACTACAGCAATCACTCATTGGTTTTCTGGCCTTTAAAGGGATCATTCACCCATAAATGAACATAATTGTCAGTTTACTCACCCTCATGTTGTTCCAAATCTGTAGGACTTTCTTGTTGCACGGAAAACAGAACTAAATCAATACTCGACAGTGAAAATGGTTGGGAAAACTGGGCTCCCAAAATGACAACATGTTTAATTCAAATGTCGATCAAAACGTGTCTCGTCAGGTTTTTTATTTACTTTGGGGGCGCTGTAGGGCTACTTGTGATAAAATGAAAAGCAAAATACACAAATAGCATTAATATACTGGTGTTTCTAAATGAATAAAGCAGTAATTGATGCCATTAAAATCACGAGACTGTTTTGTTTCAAAGGTCAGAAGCTATAGCTTACATGAATAAAAATCACAAACATGACACTTGTAAATTAAATGATTTAATATATACAGTTTTATACATTAATATTTAATATATTTTTTTCAAAGGGATTATGAAAACTCAAATACAAGGAGCTCTAATTTTTATTTATTTTTTTGCTTTAGATCATCTATTAATATTAAATCTACAAATAAAATGTTGAGGTTTCAACTGCAACTGAAAGAAAAAGTAAAAAAAAAAAACAGCAGAGATTGATATTATAATAGTTATTTTCAAAGCTTTCAATGTAGTCTCATTAAAAAAGAACTTGAATAATGTTTAAAAAGGGAATATATATCGGTATCGGCAACGGTTATCGGCCAAAATGATTTGAAAAATATCGGCATATCGGATATCGGCAAAAATCTCGCATTACTAAATTATACAAAATATGGGTGTTTGTTTGATTTCCCTGAAAGAAAAGCTTTGAAATGTGAGGGCGAAGAGTAAGTAATGGCAGAATTGCTGCTGTTTTCATCATCCAGGTATGACCCTCAGGTGATGAAGGACAACACTGAGTATCTTCTCTTTTATTATTTCAGGGTGAAAGAGGACGGCTGGGTCCACAGGGTCCTAAAGGTGAAGCAGGTTCAAAGGTAAGTCCTTCTCTCCCACCGTACTGCCGGAGAGCCCGTTTCGGCTGAATTATGGGCTGTTTGTATTGGTGAGATGTAGTGTTTCATTCTCCACAGTGTTACACAGTATCTGTTACCGCCACCGCGGCGGCAAGGCCCCTCTGAGCAGCGGCTGGATTGGGTTACAGACCTGAATAAAGACCCCGTGTGGTGTTTTTGGGGCAGGCGAAGGTCTGTTCACACTTCTCAAGACGAAGCTTTGCTCTGGGAGTCGCCATCACCTGGGAGCCCCCCGTTAGAACATGAGACCCCCCAGAGGTCAAGGGTCGTCTTTTAGAGGAAAGGCACTCTACAGGGTGACATGAACAGTCCCATGTTGCATCTTCAAAAGCGCAACTGGCGCAAGTCTTCACTCACGTAACTCAGCTAGAGAATGTGTTTTTGCGATATTCAAGGTCTATGACTTGAGTTTGTGAGGGTAGTTTGTTGGGAGATATCATGAGGGATATTCAGTAGCACTTGTTTGGTTTGTGAGGTGAAGAGAACCAAAGGCCTTGTAAAGTCCTTTCAGTTTTGACTAGAACGTGTTGGCCAGAGCTCGTTTTGCTAACAGTGGCCAATTGTAATTGGATTTTCACTTGCAATCCCAAGAGCACAGTTGAGACTGTTTTTGTGTGGCTCAACTCTCAGAAAATATTAATGTTCTCCAAGTGGAGTTTTCTTTGGAAATGGAGGCCTTTTTGGAAAGAGCTCTTTTCTATTGCGTGGGGGCTTTTTTTAGTTGGTTTTGAAAGGTCAGTTGTCACAACCCGGGAAGTGATAAAAAGCAGATCTGTATGGTTAGGTTTGTGGATCCTGGCCTGATTCATCTGAGAGTGGGAAAACCACAGGGATCTGGAGGTGAACCCAGAACCGTTGATAGAATAGATCAAGTCATGACAGAAGTCATTGATTTGCCTCCAAAGACAAATGGCCTCCAAAGACTTATAAGCTGACCAAATCAAGTTCGTCCAGGTTTCATTAAGAAAGTTTCTTGCTTTATCAACCCATCTGAGCTGTGGGCTGAGATATCAATCCTAAAAGTCATTTCTTGCACAACATTTCGTTTACTTGCATAGGTGAAAACAATCGATTTTACTTCTATAATGTGACATTTGCAGAGTGAAACAAGATACTCAATCAATCAATTAACATTTATTTATATAGCACATTTAAAACAACACCAGTTGACCAAAGTGCTTTACATGTCTAAAAATTACTCAAACAAACACAATGCACAACAATATCCATCACTGATCAATGTCCCAAAAGCTAGGGGCAACTGTATGCCACAGAGTAAAGGTGTGTTTTGAACATTGATTTAAAACAGTCTAATGAGTCACATGGGAGACTATTCCAAAGACGTGGGGCTACCACAGAAAAGTCTCGATCACCTTTGGTTTTCAACCGTGATCTGGGAACATGTAAAAGCAAACTCTGTGATGATCTTAGAGGTCTAGCAACACAGTGCTGCTGTAACAGACATGAAATGTACTCTGGAGCAAGGCCATGCAAACCTTTAAAAACCATTATCAAAACTTTATATTGGACTCTAAAATCAACAGGAAGCCAGTGCAGAGTGAGTATCTTGAATACAGTGCATCTTGAATACTCAATGAGGTAACGAGAACAGGAGTTGATTGCGAAAAGTCCATAGTAGAATTGATGTAATTGTCTTGACCTTCATTTCTTGTTGAACCACCTCACCTCGCTCCTGCCGAATGCCGGAGTCTTTGATCTTGAGCGTGCTAAACTGAAGCGATCCGTTTAAATGCTGTTTTTATAGGTCATTAGTATCTGGAGCACTCAGCTTTTGCAGTAAAATGTTTAAAGAGCTTGAGCAGAAATAGTCCTGCAGGTCCAGACCAGGTCAGGCGTAAATCACAGTGACCTCTGATGCGTCGTCAGAAGGTCTGGAATTTTCCAAATCAGAGGATTGCCCACACTTGAGCCTCTCCGCTCGGTCCAACACACAGCGCCACCTGCTCGCAAACAGATGTGAGAACCTCTATCAAATCAGGCATCTGAATATCAAAATATTCAACTCAAAGATATATTTGCACAACTGACTGTAGGATTGCATTGTTGTGCTTCAGTAAATTTGGCACCGATCGGTTCCAGCACACAAGAAAAGTTTCGAGGTGAGGTTTTCTGACCTCCCCTCCCCGTCTCACTGTCGTGACTTGTCTTTCTTTCATGGGCTCTAGCTGGAGCTGTCAGACGGGGAAAGCTTTAAAGGGTTTTGACAGTTCTGGGGAAATTCTTACGGGCTATTAGTCTTATCTGAGGCCACTGGGACTTTAGGCAACAAAATCCCCAGAAATGTGGAAAAGATAGAACGTCAAGTACAAGTCTGTCTGTTTCTCCTTGTTCTTAACATTGTAGGGAAATGAGAAAATTCTTTGTTTTGTGTTCTGTAAAAGGTTGTAATCTGCTTTCATTTTTTTTTTCACCTGCAGGGTCCCAAAGGCTATCCAGGACCAGCAGGTCTGCCCGGAGAACAGGTGAGCGGATGAAACGCATCTCAGGTGGATGTCGGTCTGTTTGTGAGGTCCACACATTGATATTTTCAACTACTGCTTCAATCAATTAGTGTCCATGAAGCTGCTTTGAGGCTGTAGTTTGTCAGATCCCAAGGGCGCTGAATGAACAGCGCAATTGTTTTGTCCTTAGATGACGTAAATAAAGTTAATGAGATCATTGCGAGTGGAATCGTCATAAACAAGGCTTATACAGCAGTAAAGCCTTTGATGCAACCAGCGAAAAATCTCATTCAATCAATCAATCAATCAACATTTATTTATATAGCACATTTAAAACAACACCAGTTGACCAAAGTGCTTTACATGTCTAAAAATTACTCAAACAAACACAATACACACAATATCCATCACTGCTCAGTGTCCCAAAAGCTAGGGGCAACTGTATGCCACAGAGTAAAGGTGTGTTTTGAACATTGATTTAAAACAGTCTAATGAGTCACATGGGAGACTATTCCAAAGACGTGGGGCTGCCACAGAGAAGGCTCGATCACCTTTGGTTTTCAACCGTGATCTGGGAACATGTAAAAGCAAACTCTGTGATGATCTTAGAGGCCTAGCAACACAGTGCTGCTGTAACAGACATGAAATGTACTCTGGAGCAAGGCCATGCAAACCTTTAAAAACCATTATCAAAACTTTATATTGGACTCTAAAATCAACAGGAAGCCAGTGCAGAGTGAGTATCTTGAATACAGTGCATCTTGAATACTCAATGAGGTAACGAGAACAGGAGTTGATTGCGAAAAGTCCATAGTAGAATTGATGTAATTGTCTTGACCTTCATTTCTTGTTGAACCACCTCACCTCGCTCCTGCCGAATGCCGGAGTCTTTGATCTTGAGCGTGCTAAACTGAAGCGATCCGTTTAAATGCTGTTTTTATAGGTCATTAGTATCTGGAGCACTCAGCTTTTGCAGTAAAATGTTTAAAGAGCTTGAGCAGAAATAGTCCTGCAGGTCCAGACCAGGTCAGGCGTAAATCACAGTGACCTCTGATGCGTCGTCAGAAGGTCTGGAATTTTCCAAATCAGAGGATTGCCCACACTTGAGCCTCTCCGCTCGGTCCAACACACAGCGCCACCTGCTCGCAAACAGATGTGAGAACCTCTATCAAATCAGGCATCTGAATATCAAAATATTCAACTCAAAGATATATTTGCACAACTGACTGTAGGATTGCATTGTTGTGCTTCAGTAAATTTGGCACCGATCGGTTCCAGCACACAAGAAAAGTTTCGAGGTGAGGTTTTCTGACCTCCCCTCCCCGTCTCACTGTCGTGACTTGTCTTTCTTTCATGGGCTCTAGCTGGAGCTGTCAGACGGGGAAAGCTTTAAAGGGTTTTGACAGTTCTGGGGAAATTCTTACGGGCTATTAGTCTTATCTGAGGCCACTGGGACTTTAGGCAACAAAATCCCCAGAAATGTGGAAAAGATAGAACGTCAAGTACAAGTCTGTCTGTTTCTCCTTGTTCTTAACATTGTAGGGAAATGAGAAAATTCTTTGTTTTGTGTTCTGTAAAAGGTTGTAATCTGCTTTCATTTTTTTTTTCACCTGCAGGGTCCCAAAGGCTATCCAGGACCAGCAGGTCTGCCCGGAGAACAGGTGAGCGGATGAAACGCATCTCAGGTGGATGTCGGTCTGTTTGAGAGGTCCACACATTGATATTTTCAACTACTGCTTCAATCAGTTAGTGTCTGTGAAGCTGCTTTGAGGCTGTAGTTTGTCAGATCCCAAGCCATATTTAACTAGTCATGTTTGCTTAGTGAAGTATCACTATTATTACTGCTAATCATACCGGTAAATTGGACGTAAATTGGACTCAACAAATATTCTTTATTACCTTAAGTAGCTATTTTTAAGTAACAAGCGTTGCATGAATTATTACTAGTGTAACACTAGCTAACATTTGGGCGGTGTTATGCAAATCTTCCCACATAGTGACGTAGATATGTGGGGGCGTGTTAGAACGAGCCGTTTTAGGTAGGCGTGGCTGACTCTTAACTTTTATAAAGAATATCTCTTTGGATTTGAGACTTTAGTCTTTGCAACTTTACAGATCTTCTTTATGCACCAAGAGCTTGTAACACTCCAAAGAGAAAGGAAAAATTGAAATAGCATCATATGACCCCTTTAAATGAACTATGCAGATTCTTTGACAGTTTTCTGTATAATAGTGATCCTGTAAGCAATAAAGCAATACTTCAGATAGATTCTTTTATAATTCAGATACATCTTTTATCACAGTGATGTCCCTTTTTTAATGTAGGGCATGTATGAAATGCAAAATGCATATTTTTTGTCAACATCTATCAGATTGTCCTCAATAGATGGAGCTGAAAATCAATTTCAAACATCCTGAAGTTAGGTTTTTGCATTATATTTAATCTCCCTTTCACATAGCAGCCATCCTGTTGCACATATTTTGCCCATACAATCGGCTTTAATTCTCTTTCCATCCCTGCCTACATGTTTGACATGGCATTAAACAGATCTATGAGTTGTACCTTTGTACCTCCTCAATAACTGAGTCCGGAAGGTTTGGAACTCAATACATGGAAAGTTTCATTCAGTCACAAAGCGCAGTCTTTATATGCAGTCATCTGATGCAAAGATGATCCGCGCTGGAGTCGTGCAGCGGAGAGGAGCCGCCGTCTGGACTTCAGCCAGGGTCAGGCCGCGGAGAGCGGCTCTGGCCCGTGGATGCTTTGAGAGAGAGATGCCACAGGGAACAATAGCGTCTCTATTCGTCCGCTGGCAGCCGCTCTCATCTCTCATTCACGTTTTTCTTTCTTTTCTCCTCAGGGTTTGCCGGGATTGCCGGGCGTATCTGGGGCGGCAGGTTACCCTGGCAGGCAGGTGCAGTGACCAATATCCACTAAGAACAACAGAAAAGGCTTTTTGATAATGTGTTACTTCATCTTGATCCTAAATTTGAAATATTAAACTTGATTCTAAATTGAAATTTAATATCAGGCAGCTGTTTAGAATGTACTGTGCAGTATACTGTATGTTGCCAAGTATTTTTAAAAGTAGTATGTGAAATAATACACAATATGCAACGATTAACACTGCATAAACATTTAAAGGCAAGGTGAATAGGGTAAAAATTGAAACTAATAGATATCACCACACTTCCCCAGCTGATCAATCACAGTACATTAAGACAATTGTTTTGTACTAAGTTTTCTGATATGTTATGCACTAATTTGCATACATTTCCAGAAGATAAATCTGAACATTGGATAAAGCCAGATTCAACATTCTTGTTTGATTTTGTTGACATTGGAGTTAAGGGTTTTTTATAGAGGGGATTATGAATATCTCTTTTTATCAATCCATAAATCAGAAAATAATGTCAACAGCCAGAAAATATACATTTTCACCATGTTTTTAGGAATAAAATGTTATACAAATCAGTGTAAATGATATATGAACAAGCTCCTCAGTAAAAACCTTCAGAATATACATAGGAATAAAACTGCTAAGTTTGGTGAATGTACAGTAAGTGCTGCTGAAGTGGGGAAAAAACTTTTGAAGGTATGATTTGTAATTGAAATCTACAGACGCAAATAGATAAAGCGCAATAACATAAACACTTGTGTTTTAGATGTTTTCTTTCCACTAGTCTGAAAGAAGACATGTTATGAAAGTAAAAAATCTCCAAATTGATGGGATGGGATGCAGTTTGCTGTAAAAGTTTCTTAATTCTTGACAGTTTGATCATGTAAAGAGTCAAAAAAGAGAATCACGGATGATATCGCAGTTCATTCATCACACATGAAATGGGTGGTTGAGTGCATTGCATTGTGGGATACATTATTCTGTGCAGTGTGCTCTGTATTTGCATATTGTTCATAGTGTATATACAGCATTTTTAGTATCTTTAGAAAGGCAGTATTCCATTCATCTCCAGCACAATCTAATTCTAGTTTTGCTTTAGTGAATGTTCACAGTTATTTTATAAGAATTTTAAACATAAAGTCTAAAGTGTTACTCCAAGCATTTGTCACATTTGCATTCTATTTTTTTGCAGAAATCTACTTTATCAACAGTGTTATAAGAGTAAGATACATCATATAAACATGAATCTCAGAAAAACCTCTGGGGGGGTCAACTACCTTGACATGTTTTTGGCAGGTTTCAAGATGTGTGTATTTGTCTTATATGTGAATGTGTATAATGTTGTCTTGCAGGGTTTGGCAGGACCGGAGGGAAACCCTGGACCTAAAGGTGTCAATGTACGTACAGCAGTCGTCTCAAAATCTTTTATTATTGCAGTCCTCTAGCCTGTTGTGTCCCAGTGCTCAAGAATCAGTGAGCTGCATGAAGTCAAGATCTGACTACTGCATCTCAAGAGATGTTGCTTGTTTCAGAAACTGCTTTCAACATCTGGCAGTGTGCCGCGGCACAGGAATGTGCAGAGAAGGGAGGAGGGCTGTTTCTTTCATCTTTGGCCGATAGTACATGTGATCTCACTTAACAAGAAAGAAGAACAGCACATATAGTGCTCCGTCCACCTACAGCAAACAAAAACACCGGCCAATCGCTCACACGCTGCTCTGAATGATTTGTGTCCAGTGCGTTAAACGTGGAAAAAACGAGGTTATCATAACCTGATGCTGACATGATCATATTGTTCTGTGTATTATTGAAGGATGTAAGCTGCATTGTGTGTACATTACTTGTAAATTACTGTGATTAAGAGCAATATACAGTTTTGAAACGTGACTGATGAAATGAGGATGATAAATGAGCCTGTATCTTATAGTTCAAGGTTATAAATCTGGTGAGAAAATAAGATCACTCAAGTTTTCAGCAAGTAATTTTGAAATCAAAATACAGCAAGCTGCTATGTCATGTCGCCAAACAAACCAATGGTATAAATATTGTAAGTAGATTTGTTCAGTCATAGTGGAGGTGGAGATTTAAGGCTCATGGCTTATTAAAAATTCAGTTTTTCTTGTCCAGTAGGTGGCGCTGTCTCTAAAATGCTCTAGTATCATCAGGGCACGGAGGCGATGACTTGCACCAATTTTTGTTCCAATAAGCCAAAGCATTTCAAAGATATGGCCTTGCCGTTTGTTCGTTGTCATTGCATTTCTTAGTGCATTATATGCAAATGGTACATCAGAGCACAACTTTTGACCAGCATGGTATCAGGATTATCTGACCAAATTTAGGGGACAATCTGATGAAAGATGTAGAAGGAGGAGTTCAAAAAGTGTACTGTATGTAGTTTTGATCTATTGGTGACGCGTGTTTGTTTTTCTGTATCAGGGCTTCATCGGACCTCCAGGAGTTGCAGGAGCGCCAGGACTGGAGGGAGAGAGAGTGAGTTCAAATGCATAATTATATATCATAATTTTAACATTAATGCATATACCATGCAAGCAGATGCCATTAGCATGAATTGAAGCAAAGTAACATGCTGTCGATTGCTACAGAAAGTCATTTTGAATCATCTATCAATTTGTACAATCACAGAAGCGTGTTTACACTAATGCACTTAGAATTGATATCAATTAGGCCAGCATGCAGCAATGTGATTAAGTGGCTAAAATTTGCAACTAGATGAAATATTTCATATTAACATGAAACAGGTGTGATCATTTACCAACTCTGTCTCATGTCAGGATCAGACAAAACACGATTAACCTGGTCAGTTTAGCTTGGTATCAGTGGTATCTGTAATGGGGTTTAGTACATGCAGCAAACTTCACTCTCAGAAATTACATTTACATTTATGCATTTGACACTTTTATCCAAATCAGCTTGCATTGCATTGAAGTTTTCCATGTTCACGCATTCCATGCAAATCAAACCCATGTTTGTGGCGTTACAAGCGTCATGCTTTACTGTTTGAGCTACAGTTCTATTTTTAATATATTGAATTATCAGTTTAATTTTAATTTTATATTTAGTCATTTTAATTTTAATCTGTGCTTTTTTCATTTGTATTATTTTGTAAATATTTATTTATTTATTTATTTATAGCTTTAATACTTAAACTAAATGAAAACTACAAATATTGCCCTGGCAACTAACTGAAATAGGTTTTAATAATAATGATAATAATAATAATAATAATAATAATAACAATAATAATAATAGAAAAAAAAAGAAATTTCATTTTCAATAAAAAGTTTTTAATCTAATATTTACAGTATATTTCATTATTTATTTAAATTAACAGAAATTATTTTAATAGTTTTAGTTAACTAAAATAAGTTAATATTTTTTCATTTACATTTTTTAAATTTAAATTTTATTCATTCTAGAAAACTAGTTCTACCACAAAAGGATGTTGTAAACATTTAATGGCTCAAATTGAAAACATTTTCACTGAATAATTCTGTATATTTCTGCTCCTGTACACTTGCCCCTTAGACTTCCATTGTAAATGTCTTACTGTAAAAGCATGTTTCACTCATTTTACATAATGACGGATGAGTCATAATGATCACAGGTCACAGATGCTGTTTATATCCATCAGTATTCTTTTAATATCAGCATAATGGCGGTTTCGTCTGGACATGTTAGACTGACTAACACACATGGGCTGTTAAGGCCCGAACATTGTGTTGAGAGTTGGTGCGATTTGACAGACTTAAATTCCCAAATGAATGACATGAGCTGGAAAACACACAAGACAACAGCGTCGAGATTGATGACGCCCCCCGGCTCAGTGTGATCAATGTGTGTCAGATCGGATCGTTTGGTAACCGCTATCGTCTTGATGTGTTCCAGGGAATTCCGGGTCCTGTGGGAATCAAGGGTCCCAAAGGAAGACAGGTAAACGCTCTCTCATTCTTAAGCTGTCTTCAGGGGATATTATGCAAATGAGTGATGCATATTTTTAACAGATGTAGTTACTTGTGGGTGAAGAAAACGCAAGAAAATGAACAATTTTCTTGTCATCTGCCGTCCAGCTGTAAAGGCGACAGCATTATCCTGGTGGAAGATGTTATGCAATGTATAAAAGTCTACATTAGTACAGAAACATTGCTACACTTCTTAAAGGGGTTGTGAGGGTCATTCTGACTGATGTGCATGTGGTAAAAATGTATGTATGTATATATATATAATGTATACATACATGTCAGAATCTGTAAGTTATTGTACAATAGTGATGAACCAGGATATTTTATGATTAGCATGTGCCAGTACTTTACGATTATCAGCAATAGTGCATTTTCTGTTTTAAATTTTTAATCTTGTGAATGTTGAATAAATATTATGTGAAATAGATGTTCATTTAGATTTTATGTACATCTTATTTTCACCATAAAATCATTTAATAATAAGGGTTAGTAATAATAATAATAATGTAGGAGCCTATTTTTGTTCAGATTCAGTAACCAATGTTATATTATGTGGTGCATTTCAGCTTTGAATATTTTGGTTTGGATTGTTTGCACTTGTAAACTTACTTTATTCACGTGTACAATTTAGACAAATATTCTGTATTTTACATTGAAAATGTGTACTATGTTGAAATTGTGTACTGGCTCTTTAAGAATCGCGTCTGTTAAGTCAGGCGGCAGTGCGTTCTTTGGAATACAGCGGAGTCACACAGTTTTCTTTACCGCATCCGTGATATTTAAGATGTAAGATTATATTTTGTTTCTTTAATTTTATTTTTAATCAAAAACTTTTAGTCAAGATTAAAGCAGTATATTGAACAAGAAAAACGGAGTACATGGATTGCTTTATTGGACACGGAGCGAGTAAAAACGAAAGTGAAACTGATGCGCACTCACAAATAATAATAATAATTTAATCTTCAATATTTAACTTCTGTTAATATAACAATAATAATAATAATAATAATACATCTCTTTAAATATTAATTAATTATTTGTAATGATTTAATTTATAAATATTTAACATTTAGGTTCAGCAAGTACATGTTACAAATACATGTTATTTTCCACCATTAAATTATATAATAATAATACTCTACCATAAAATAAAAAAATAAAAAAATATTATTAAACAACATCAATAATAATAATAACTATTATTATTATTATTATTATTATTATTATTATTATATAATCCTATAGATAGTCTATAGATATTGGTATCAGCATCAGCCATTAAAAAGTCAAATTGGTCGAGCACAGTTGTACAAGTCTTTGGTTTTTAACCAGGAGTCTTCAGACATTTGATCAATCATTCCTCGATTGATCAGATTCTCAGAGATTCTCAGAAAGTCACTCTCAGCTTCTCTAAACTCTGGAGAGCAGCTCATGTTGGTGTAGTTTTGGGAAGTGTTGGTCCTGAGAAAGCCTGGAACGGTGCCGGTGTGCCAGCTGGGCTCCCGCCCGCCGTCTGCAGCAGAATGATTAATCACAGGCATCTCCAGCGCGGATGAAAGCTTGCTGGAAGACGTTCAGAGGCCCCTGGGCTCTCAAAGACACAAGCAAGCATGCAGACGCTCTCCTGAACTGCAAACCGCTGCCATTTACAGTAACATGCACTGATCAGGATACCTGTATAAAGACATGAAATAAACTACTGTACGAGATCAGATTCACAGCCAGACGAATCGTGATGTGTGATCTGGCCTCATGGAAATGAGACTGACGCAGTGTTTTTGCAGGGTGTTGTTGGAGATGCGGGTGAGCGAGGGCCGCCCGGACCGGACGGAAACGAGGTACATCACATAAACACAGTTATATAGAGTTAAGATGCATTCATTTCAGATTTACTGGGCCTTCGCTACAGATTGGGACAATAGATCTATATTCATAATTTCATTCAGCGAAAACCAAAGTATACCATGCACTGTTTTTGGACAGTACAAAGGTATTATTTTATGTATATGAATTAATGTATTAAAATTATGTCTAATAATTATGTATTAATACTACAACAACAATTGTATAAATAAATATTTAACATTAAGTTTCAGAAATTGTATGTACATTTTATTTTTTAGAATTAAATCATATAATAATAATAGTTATTATTAGTAGTATTAGTATTAGGTAGATAGTCTGTGGGTATACTGATATCAGTGTCAGCTATTAAAAAGTCATATTGGTTGACCACAGTTGTACAAGTCTATGGTTTACAATAATTATGTATAATGTATATATTCAGTACACTTCCGTTCAAAAGTTTGGCAAGATTAAATAAGACTAAATAATATGAATTAAATTAGATTCAATAATAATAATTAATACTTTTATTCAGCAAGGATGCATTCAATTGATCAAAAGTGACAGTAAAGCCATGTTACAAAAGATTCCCATTTCAAATAAATGCTGTTCTTTTGAACTTTCTGTTCATCTGTGAATCCTGAAAAATCAAATGTATCACAGTTTCCACAAAAATATTGTGCAGCACAACTGTTTTCAACATTGATAATAATCAGAAATGTTTCTTGAGCAGCAAATCAGCATATTAGAATGATTTCTGAAGATCATGTGACACTGAAGACTGGAGTAATGATGCTGAAAATTCAGCTGCGCATCACAGGAATAAATTACATTTATAACATTTTAAACATTTTAACAGATATTCACACAGAAAACAGCTGTTTTAAATTGTAGTAATATTTAACAGCAGTGTATCAAAGCACTAATGAATTAAAAATTTGGATCAAATCTGAACCACTCCTAAAGGAGGCCAATTTTCTTCCAACATAAAAGTCATCAATGCATCCATTGTGACTATCAATAGGACATCAAATTGAATTTAAGAAGATCTTTCTGGATTATGTAAATGTCTGTGTGTCATTTATCTGTCAAGACGTCAATTAGTAGGGTCTCTGATAATAATACAATGTCCAAAATAAAAAATAAATAAATAATACATTGTTTCTGATAATAGTACAATGTATCAAAAACCTGAAACTCCTAACAGCTGTAGAGATCTTTGATGTCTTCAGTTCAAGACAGTTTAAAGATGTTTGAAAATACTCCTACATGCAGACAAATCATCAGACCTGTTCCTCATGAATGCATTGTGGGATTGAGTCTCTTGTGTTTGGTGTGTTTCAGGGGCCTGTCGGAGGAACCGGCAGCAGTGGATTCCCAGGCCTGAGAGTGAGTCCTTACACACACATGTATCAACAGAGAAGGGTAAATCAGCTTCACTGTGCAGATATTACTGCATAAAACACATCAGCACAGCCAGCGAAGGATTGAACGCAACTGTTTTGAACGAGCGCACCAGTATCTGCGCAGATATCTTTCAGTATGGATCAAAAGCATTATCAGATCCAAAAATACTGTGTCACTCGGGGTTAATAAAATTAAAAACAAAACCATAAAAAATGTTTTGTTACTTATGGGGCCCTATCATACACCTGGCACAATGCAAATGCTTTTTTGCCAGTTTCAGCCCTACGCAGTTATCATTTTCACATCCTGCGGCACGTTGTTTAAATAGCAAATGTATTTGCACCCATTTGTGCGTCTATGGGCATGATGGTCTGAAAACGAGGTGTGTTCAGGTGCATTGTTGCATTGTTTGAGGTAACTGAAATAGACTGGTCCATTGACCAACTAAAACCTGGTCTAAAGTCAATGGCGCAGGTTTTTTTTAATAATAACAAGTTTAATTTATATAGCGCCTCTCCCAATAATTTCATACATAGATGGACAATAGACATTTGCCAAGTCCAGAACGTGCGATTGCAGTTGCATACCACAGTAATAATGCAGAATCATAATCACAATCACAAAAAAAAAAATAAAAACATTTATTTTATTTTAGCTGGTTTCCAAGACATTTCTCATTTTCATTTAGTTTAGCTTGAAGTACTAAAATAACTTAAACTGAAATAAAAAATAAATTTTATATATAATCGTGAAGATGCTGTGTGCTTCGTTGTGAAAGCGAAACTACTTTGTTTGGCCTTCCAAAAGAGGACACAACTAGAAAGTAGTGGTTAAGTTGAACTTACAACACTGTTCCAGAACAGTTCAACCCAAATATTCAGATGTGTGCAGCGCATTTTATGGAGGACTGTTTCCTGAACCTGCAGAGTAACGTTAGCCTATAATGCGTCTGTGCACAAAGGCTGTTTCTATAAACTTTGCAAGGACAGTCTGGCGCTTCTGACTCACAGCCTGTAAGTACGTTTTTTATATTTAAAGAATTTGCCACTGACGATTCAAACGCGAGTTTTGAGCAGTGTAGAGTAGCGCTTGTTGTTTGTCATTTCTCCGATCACAAATGCAGACATGGTTTTATGTTTATGCGGCGCGATACGCAACGCGTAAAAAGACAGTATAAGTCATTATAATGAGTAATTATGTCCCCACTGGATGCAACAAATGCCTCGTTTGTAATGGGTTTTATTGATGTTGTCTCATCGCGGGGCATAGAGGAGCAACAATAATGTACATTATGTGAAAAATAACGTTTTTTAAACTTTAAACCGCATAAACACATTGCATTGCACCAAATACACAACATAATGTTATTTTTAGCAAAGTCATATGACCCCTTTAATAAAAATGGTGAAATTACTACAGATAACTCAAAAACAGATCTCAATTTTATTAAAATAATGCTATTAATAATACTGTGATACTACTTATATTTGACTTGTCAAATATTGATGATGATTTTGCTGGAGATATAATGCGACGATTGTGATGATTTTCATGCACCTTTAATTTTGGCCTTGATATGCGAAATTAACTAAAGCTAAAATAAAAATAAAAAATAAAAATGATCTGTATATCTATGCAAAAATAAGACTGGCTGTGAGTACGGTGATGTGCTTGGGGAACTTCATGCTGAAGTGATGTTGAGTGACTGTGATCCCGGCTCTTTCATCTCTTCTGCAAGAGGAGGTTTTGGCCAAAAGCAGCATTTTCTCAGCAGATCTCTGCCACTGACGTGTTGAGCATTATTAATATCCTCTTGGCAGGAGCTGCTGGCGGGACTCAACTCTGTACAGTAGCAGAACAAGCTGCTGAAAACCAGCGAAAAACCCAACAATGAATCTGATTTATATTCATGTGCAAACTATATTACTTGTCAGAAGAATAGTTTATCCAGATTATTAATAATAATAAATGAAACTGCTTATTTGCAGGTGATTTTACTTCATGCACCGAATCAAATATTGTGATGACAAGTAAAAAACTGCAAAAGCTGTTTTATATTGAAAAACATTTTTTAAGATATTTTACATATGTTATTTATTCATTCATTCATTTACTGTGTTTATTTACTGTGTATTTCTTTCAGTGCTTTTGGTATGAGAAAAGCACATTATATACGTGTCAATAAAATAAAATAAAAAAAACGTTTGGAACGGCAGCAAACCAGTTGAAACTTTTTCAAGCACAAAACAAATCTAATGAAATAGTCTTTTGGAAACTTAAAGGTGCATTAAAATCATCACGACCACAATCTTCATATCATATCTCCAGCAAAATCACAATCAAGTCATGTGACAGTAGTATTATTTTCGCATCATTGAGATACTATTATACTGTAGGTTTTTTTTTTTTAATTGAAGCTTGTTTCTGAATAAAAAATAAACAAGGTCATTTTTTATGATTTTTTTTTTTTTTTTATAAACTCACACTTGAGGGTTATAAAGTCATGATATTGCGTGATGATATGAGTTTATATCTCACAATTCTGAGAAAAAAAGCCAGAACTGTGAGATGAAAAGTTGCAATTATCTTTTATTTATTTTATTTTTTTTCCTGTGGCAGAAACAAGCTTACGTAGTTTTTATTCAATATTTTGAATTCGTTTTTATTTTTGTATTTATATTTTATTTTTTTATTTAATTTTAATGTATGTTTTTTGTCATTTTTATTATAGTTTTTTTTATAAATGTTTATATATTTTTTATTAATTGTTTTCAAGTTTTAGTTGTAGTTATTTTAGTTAAACTAAAAAAGAATGAAATAATATTGCCTTGGCAACTAGCTGAAATAAAGTAACTGTTATTTTAGTTTAGTTTAATTAACAGTTATTTTATTTCAATCATCAAAACTACTTTTTTATGGGTTTAGCTTTAGTTTTATGTAACTACAGTGTTAACTGTAAATATTAAATCCACTCTTACTTCTTCATTTGTGTGTGTTTCAGTCTGTTGCATGTGTTCAGATCCTGTAGTCTCTGCTCTCTGAGTCTCTGCGGAGCCATTCACGTGTTTGTGATGTTCAGTAAGCGGTGTCTAACAGTAGAGGAGTGTCTGCTCGTCTCGTTCCGGCTTTAAAACGAAACCCCCGGAGCCGTATAAAGCGCTGGACAGAGATGTCAGGGTGTCAGATTTAGAGCGGGATGTTGCAGCCTTCTCATGATGCTTTCACTGCTGTTTCTGTCTCTGACGGATCAGCTGATGACCAGAGAGGTCCTGATGTGTGTTTAAGAGCTGGCAAAATCAGCTTTTATGCTGTTAAATGCCCTGGTGAACAGGATCATGTTGATTCTAGCTCTGATATGTCAGACTCACTGAAATGGGAAGCACATGAAATAGAGACAATAATAGAGAAACGGAGGCTCGGTCGAGTTTCTGATCTGTTCTGTCATCCCAGCTGATATTCTGACTCTTTATTTAGATTCATTCTTTTATTCACTTTTTAGTTGCATGAGGTCTGACTAAATTTAGATAATGAGATAAAACTTGTTTCTTTGTTAAAAAAAACATTAAATAGAAATATATTAATATTTGGAAAATATATCAATATTATTAAAGAATATAATTGTATATAAAATGTATAAATATATAAATGTTTCATGTTGTACAGTCAGAATATATGAATATTTGGAAAATAGATCTACATACTTTTATATACTTTTACATATAAATAAATTATGAACCATGTACCGGGGGTTAAAGTTTTATTTATTTTAATTTGTATCTTTATAATGTTACAATAATACAATAATATAATGTTCTATTTCAAATAAATTCTTTTGAAATTTTTATTCATGAAAGAATTTATTCAATGTTAGATGCATTAAAAATAAAATTTTTCAGGCTTTTAAACAATTTTGAGGAGTAATTTTAATGACAGTTAAACATATTTACCCCCATTCTTCTTTTACTTTAAGTAAATACTGAAAAATTGTTGGTAACTGCTACAGTTATTTATTTATTTAATATTAGAAAAAAGTAATGAATACTTTTATTGATCAATGACACATTAAAGTGATCAAAAGTGACAGTAAAGACATTTATAATGTAACAAAAGAGTTCCATTTCAAATAAATGCTGTTCTTTTGAACTTTCTATTCATCTGTGAATCCTGAAAAACAAAATGCATCACGGTTTCCACAATAATATTGTGCAGCGCAACTGTTTTCAACATTTTTCAATGTTTCTCGAGCAGCAAATCAGCATATTAGAATGATTTCTGAAGATCATGTGACACTGAAGACTGGAGTAATGATGCTGAAAATTCAGCTGCGCATTACAGAAATAAATTATATTTTAACAGATATTGACATAGAAAACAGCTATTTGAAATTCTAAAACTATTTCACAATATTACTGTTTTTGCTGTATTTTTAATCAAATAAATGCAGCCTTAATGAGCAGAAGAGACTTCCGACCCCAAACTTTTTAATGATTATTAACACGTTAAGCCGCTTGTCTAAAGATCCCAGAATCTGATATATTAACACTCTTCCACTAACTTGCATCTCATCTTCTCCTCGTCACATTATGATTCCCTGTTGGGAATTCTGTACATGGAATGTTTTGAACATTCCCAGATCAATGTGTTTTCTGCAGGCTTTAGAATAGCAAATGAGTCGTATTTCACCTTCTTCTTCTCTTTCTTCTGTGGTTTTTATCACGCGCAGCGGACAGAAGAGCTTTTTTATGGACTGTGTGTGATTTGTTTGTGATCTGTGAGTCTTTCCCAATCATCTACCAGCTCCAGATGAGCGGCTTTCCTTCAAACCACATGTCTTCACAAGCTAAATAAACAAAGTCCCATGGCATTACCATGATTTTGCACATGTACTATGGTAATACCATGGTATACTGATGCCATTACTGGCTTTGTTAGCCGTCTGGATCCTCTAGTGCATTAATTTACTTCACATTCTCTGATAAGACTGAAGAGCATCATCTCTCCGGCTCTGAGATGTGTTTTTCCTGTAGGTTTGAGGTGAAAGAAGAGGCTGGTTCCCATGAATCAGTGCAGACATGAGAGCGGTTTATTAGTGCGCTTCTGACTTCACGTCTGACGGCCCTTTAATGAGAAACACCGGCTCTATTACTGCTGCTTTCACAGAAACACTAGAAGATACAGATATGACCCGGAAATATATTGTTACACTGTAGAAAGATATTACAGCATTATGATCAGTAAGTAATGGCAACATGTGTTTTAGTTACTTTAACTTATCAAAATAATTCAACAAAATTCAACTTATGTCATTATGATATAACTCGTTAAAATGACAATTTGATTCAACTTAAAAAAATGTAAAGCAGCGACGGATATTTTTCAGTGTTCATATAAAGTAACTTATTTATATAAGTAAACGTATTTCAAATTGAAAAGTTTCAAATTTCCCTGCTTTATATTTCTGTGTTTTTGTTGTTTTTGATTGTTTTGAATAGTTTTTTTTTTCTGATATGTTTATATTTAATGTTATTTTCCGTGCTAGAATATATATTTTCAAAAATGTATATAAATGTATATACTAGGGCTGGGCAAGTTAACGCGTTATTATCGCGTTAACGCATTAATTAATTAACGCCGACAATTATTTTATCGCGCATTAATGCCATTTTTTATTATTATGAATGTCTGTTGCTCAATATTATTTAATAAAATGTATATAATATAATGGCAATATATTTTGACATTTATACAGAAAAAAACAGCAAGACTAATTTTTTTTTCTTCACTACAATTTCATTTATTTATTTCTTTGTTTGACAAATCCTTTTTTACATGTAAATGTGTTCCCTTGGAATCTATGTCATGCAAATGCATTCATATATTATTATGAATATTAATATTATTACTTAAATGAATTAAATATTCCATTTAAATACATTTAAAAATCACTACATTATACTTTTGTTAGAAGTTGTATGGCTTACAGTGCTTACAGTATCACCTGTAGAATGTGATCGTAAAGTAAAAATGTTCCTCCTGCAAGATCACATTTATTCAGTCTTTCCCTTGATCTTCTGTCCCGACCGCGAGTGACTGTAAAAGTACATTTACCGCAGTGGGAAGCGGGTTGATTGTGTAAATGTGCGTGTGAGAGCTCAAGCACAGATAAAGTGTGTTCAGGGCTCTGCGTTTCTAACATGCTGTTTGTAAAAAGCCAGAAACGGACTGCAGACTGATGCCATGATGGTGGACGGTGGGACTGTCCTCATACAGCTGTCATTCACTGAATTATTCACCAAACACTGCATCTCTGTCTCTTCTCTCAGGGTGATCCGGGGCCCGAGGGACCCCGCGGCTTTCCTGGCATTGTGGGACCTCAGGTAACGTCCCGTCACGCCTCAGTGTTTCTGTCACCTGATTGGCTGGACACTGAAGATCTTGTTCTCTCATTGGCAGGGCCTGACCGGAGGGGCGGGGCCTCCTGGAATGAAAGGTGATAAGGTGATTTAAATATTTCTATTATTGCAGCGAACATGCGAACTTATGAGATTAATGTGTTGCAGAAATGGACTAATGAACTTGAATTCATTTTTGTTTCTCATTACCTTATAGGCTTCTGAAAGTAGTTTTATTGAGAAGATCTGTTCATTTGTGAAATCTTTTAAAAACGGCAAATTACTACATTTGTGATGATTTTAAAAGCTTACAAAACTAGTTCTGTAGATAAATAAAAGATATGTCCACAGTTATGTTGTAACTATATTATAGCTATAACTGAAACCTTGAAAAAACAATTTTTTGTTGCTTGAAATAAAATAAACAAAATGCATAAATGAATAAATAAATAATAATATAATAAATAAATAAAATGCACATTTTATAAAATGAAGAATTTTTTTTTATTTTATTTTATGTCGTTTCCAAGCATTTCCCTTAACTTGGTGTACTAAAATAACTAAAAGTAATTATAAAAAAAAACTATATAGGTATGTGTAAAAATAAAAACAATAACTAATAAAAATGACCAAAACACACAACGAAATTACAGAAACTTACAGAAATTAAAATGAAAATGGAAAATACTAAAATAAAAACTAATTGAAATGTATATATA